TGCCGCGTAAAATTGCAACAGAAACATGAAATAGTACATTGCATTGAACGTAAAGTGCAATAGTTCGCACTTTGCACAAAAACACCACTTTTTATTTGAACTCTCCCATACACACATAGACACACACACAAGGAGCGATTCTGGTGAGGAAGGACTCCCATGAGAGAAATGAGAATGAATCAGGACTGACGAGCACTTTGTCGTAATGCGTCAAAATAAATTTACTACTAAGGGCTAATACCGTAGTATAGCGTAGTAGAGTTCGTATCCACAGGGAAAGGAATAATTCTCTTTTTATGAACTACTACCTCCGTCCCCCTGTTATTGTCCCATTGCGGTTTACGATGCTTGACTGACGATAAAGCAAACAGATCCCTGTCCGCACTAGAATTATTTTTAGGAATTTTTTTTTTCATATTAAGAAACTACATTATAAGGTTTACAAAGTCGCAAAAACCAGAATCAAATTTGATAAACATTTGATAAATAAAGTAAGAGATTAAGAGTGATTTGTGTTGACCAAGTGAATAGGAAATGGGACAATAATAGGGGGACGGAGGGAGTAGTAAATAAAAGGGGGGTTTTGGGATTGAGTGATTTAATTTAATTAAACACTAAGATGAACGACTTATATGAGTTTTAATTCAAAGATAAAAGGGACTTGGCTTTGCTACTTTCCACATGTTGATATATTTAGTCGATCCTTGTTGTATCTATAACTTATCTGACATTCACGTAATTTCCATGTTTATGTTTATGTTTTTAATTAGTTTTGAGTGATTGTACTTTGGAAATTACACACTTTTGGTGTAATAGTTTACTTTGTAAACTACTTGTAAATTGTTTAGATTAGGTTTATTCTGAGCTCAAACAGGTCCATGATCACTCAAGGGACCGTTGGTGAAACCCCAAAAGTGGAAGGAAGGTACAAAATCACAAAAGAAATAGAAGATCCTGATTTTTGGTCTGTACCCGGTCGAGTATGACCTATACCCGATCGGGTACCTTGTTGAAATATCAAATTGGGTTGGATCCGGGACAAGGCAACATGCAGGAAGATATTTGACCACCTTCGAGTGTCATACCCGATCGGGTGACCGACATACCCGATCGGGTATGTCCCACTTTTCGAGCTTCCGAGAAGCCACTGAAGGTACCCAATCGGGTGCCCTTGATGCCCGATCGGGTACACACCCCTGCACACTCCATTTCTCTATAAATACATCCCTTTCCTTCCCACAAAAAACACAAATTCACATATACTTCTTAGCTCAGTGTAGACAAGCTCTTTTTTTATGTTTTCTTCATGTTTAGTCTCCAAATGAGGAGCTAAACTCTTCCATCTTGGTTTTGCTACTTTGAAGCTTAATGAATTTGTAAGTTGTGAGTTATTTTCTTTAATCTTCTTCCTTGAATATTAATTATTTCCTATTCATATCCCATATTAATATTTTGAGCATTACTTAAAGGATCAACTAGTTTTGTTTCATATATTAATTATTACTAGAGTCAATCGATTAATACGCTTGTTATTAATTCGGTTCATTCACGGTAGTAAACTTGGATTATTAATGCATGCGTCTCACGGTTAATAATCTAAGGGGAATTAATTATGTTGATTAAACCAATAAACTGCTTGTGTTGAGGTTATCAATCTCAATCGTTTTTATCTTGATTTTATTGCTTCTGTCGAGTTGATATACGGCGCGTGTTCTATATTAACTCGGTAGTAAGTTTTATTAATGAACGGGTCTCGTTATTAATAACTACCCTCGATGAACTGGATATACTCCTCGATTGAGTATTCGAGAGGAAGATAGTTAAAGATGTAACCGGGATCGACGAACATTTCATTAAGCGGATAAAAGCAAAACCAAGTCCCCATCTCTATTAATTAAACTCATATAGGTTGTTCATCTTAGTATTATTAAATCAAATAAAAAAACCCTTGATACTAGTTATGTAAAAGAAAAGTATTCCTTTCCCTGTGGATACGAACCTTACTTCAATATTTTGAGTGCACACTACGACAAAGTGCACGTCATTATCCCCTCTCGAATACTCAATCGAGGAGTATCTCCAATTCATCAAGGGTAGTTATTAACAACGACCGTTCATTAATAACCCTTACTATCAATCAAATATAGAACAACGCCTTATACCGATTTAATAGTAGCATTTAATCTTTCTAACTCCTTGCTGAAATCAATTGAGATTGATAACCTCAACACAACGATTTCGGTTTAACCAAAAAAATTAATCTCTCTTAAGTTTATTAACCACGACCGTGCATTAATAAATCAAATTTACTTACTTGTGAAACCATCAATGATTAACCATCGGTTCGTTGATCATTTGTAGTAATAATTAATATTGAGATGTTAACTAATTGTCATCTTAGCAACACTCCCCAACATTAATATAGAGATAGATTAAGGGAAGAATTAATATTCAAGGAGAGAAGTTAAGAAAATAACTCACAACTTTAATAATCAACAAGCTTTAAAAGCAAAACCAAGAAATGGAAGTTTAGCTCCTCATTTGGAGACTAAACATGCAAGAAAAATATAAAGAAAATATGATTCTAGGTTGAGCTTAAGTATATGGAAGAAGTGATGATTGAAAGTGAAGGAAAATGGGGTTATTTATACGTGTTTTCAACACTTATGCCGGATACCCGGCCGGGTATTTGACATACCCGACCGGGTATTTGTCAAATCAAATCTTTTTACCACGTTCTTGTGTTTTTCTGCACGTCTTTTTGTCCGAAATCACTTCATACCCGACCGGGTATATGAAATACCTGACCTGCTATTTGCTAGTTTCGCAGCAATTTCCTTTTTCACTTCATACCCGGTAGGGTAAAGGCCATACCCGACCGGGTTTTGCATAAAACTCAGGTTCCTTCATCCTTTTTGCTTTCAAACTTCTCCTAAACTTATAGCCTAACTACCTACTTCTTGCAACATACAATTAAATGCTGAAAATACAATTACAATCAAATTAAACTAATGGCTACAAACTTCCACAATAATAGTAAATAATAATCACAAATAATAATAAAAATGTATACTTATGCACTAAAAACTAGTGCCTATTATGGACCATTTAATTGTATTATGTGAAACTGAAATTGTGCATTTTGTGAACTTGAAATGTGCATTAGATGAAATTGAAATGTGCAGAATAAAATGTAGAACTCAAATGTGCTTTAGGTGAAGTTGAAGTATACAGAATAAAATGTACTCCCTTCGTCCAAAAAAAATTGATACATTTTGACTTTTCTTGGTCAATGATGGTTAAGTTTGACCAATGATATCTTTTAATACAAAATTATTTAAAATATGAAAATTATATGAACATATTCTTTATTAAAAAATCTTACATAATGTATAAAATTTATAAATTAAAAACAAATATAATACCTAAAATCATTGTCTAAACTTTACTATCATTGACCAAGAAAAGTCAAAATGTATCAATCTTTTTGGGACGGAGGTAGTATAAAAATGACACAATATTGTACCTTTTATTCTGAACATTCCAATTTTACATGATGCACGTTTCAATTTCACCTAATTCTAGATTAGCTTCACATAATGCCATTATGTCGTGTCTTTTGTGCTCCACATTTGAAATTCAGTTAATGCACTTTTCAGTTTACTCAATGCACATTCAATTTTACATAATATAATGCAGTAGTCTAAATTCATTCTCATTGTTCTCCTTAGATCATTCCAGTTTAAATCGAAGTATATGTATAGGGTGCAGTTTCAATAAGCACAATGCTTGATGTGAGAATGTGAGAACATACAAATTTAACCCAATGTGATACAAATTTAATGCACATATTAACTTTGTTCAAACCAAGCCAATATAAATAATCGTAGTGGCATTTTGGTAAGTATTATGCTTAAAACAAAAAAGTGCAATGGGCGAGCCTCATTGTGCATCACATTGGGGGTAATGTGGTGTTCTCACGTTAAGCATTGCACTCATTTGATCATATATATGGGAGCAGATGAGGTGTAATTTGTGTTTATTATGCAAACGTTTGTATGATGCATCTTTATGTTATTTGTATTGCATATTGAAGTTCAAAGTATTGCATATTATTACTCCATAAAATACCAATCACATATTAACATTCAAAGAGTTGCATCCTAAAAAGTTGTCTTTTATTCCAAATATGCCACTATGCTTTTATATCTTTTAGATCAACTCATCAGATGTTTAAGATGAATTTGTAGTTTCTAAATTAAGGAGGGTTTGTACACTCTAATGCAAACTCTCCTTAATTTATAAACTACAAACTCATCTTGGCCATCCAATGAGTTGATTTAAAGGCTATAAAGGCACAGTAGCATTTTTGTAATAAAAACCAACTTTTTAGGATGCAAATCTTTGAAAGTTAATATGCAACTAAATACTTTATGGCTGAATAATACGCAACACTTTGAACCTAAATATGCAATACAGATATCATAAAGATGCATCGTACAAACGTTTGCACAATAAGCACATTTTGTATCTGATCTGCCCCCTATATATAGGGGAGAGTTCAAATGAAAAAGTGGTGTTCCTGTGAAAAGTGAGCTTCACACATAAAGTGAGAATAAATCTTGTGCAGTCAATTCAGGATCCAATGTCTCAAAATAAACCAACAATGCACTATATTTGATAAAAAACGCGGTGATAATTTTGTAAGTAAACGGATATTTTTTTGCCATTGCAAAAAAGTGCAACACAAACATGAAATATATAGGAAATGATCAAATAAGGTAGGTGTAAGATGCACAATTTTAGTCTTCTTTCATTTTTAGTGATTTAATAAGTTTAGTAAGTCTAAACCTTTTATGTTCATTAGTAATAAGTATTTATTTTAGCAGTTAGACTTAAAATTTGTAAACAAATAGACTCTCGGTACCGAGTTTTTCATTTCAATGCTAATGTAATGGTTAAAATTACTTCATCATTAAATATATTTTTTTATGGTAGAATTTAATTTTAACATCATCTAATGATTCAAATTAATACTTATATGAATAAGTAAAAAAATTGAGATAATTAGATTCAATCTTTTGCCTAAAATGAAAGAGGCCTAAGATTGTAACGAGGGAAATAATTAGTTGGGTATTTCAGAAGCATAGGAAATCTCTTGTTTCTTCTTGTTTGCTTCTTTTTGTTTTGTATTAATTCTGTTATTTACAAAAGTGAGGAGGGTTGATCTGGATAAGGATCTGTCCAGCACATATCCTGCTCAGCTGCCTCTTTCCATCGCCTCTTGAACACCTTGTATTCATTATAAGATTGTCTTCTCACCTATTTTATCAATCATATTAATTAATTGCTAAAATCGATAAGTTGCTTTCAACATATATCACATTACATTATTAATTTTAATATAAATGGATTGATGTGCAACCCTTCTAGTAGAAGTATCGTCATTAATGACTCCTAAATATTTAAGAAAAACACAATTTAACATTCGAACTCACTAGTAACACTCACTTAGCCTTGTTAGTAGGTTATTCTATCATTTGTCCACCTCATTCCCGCATCACTATCATGCTATGTGGGCAACACATTGGAAGATCATCTAGCCCTTTCTATTTTATTTTCTTTTATACATTACTTTTTCTCTATTTCAACCCATCCCCACCCTACTCTTGGTTGCCTATGTTGTATGCAATTTTTTCAAATTCAAATAAAATCAAAGAAGGTCGCGACATGAGTGATGGATGGAATTTTTTTGAAATATAGAAAAGTTGTGATAAAAGAAAAGCTAGATGATGTGGTAGAAAGATCACTTGGTAAATTGCTAAAATTTACAATTGAATGGTTTAATAGGTCCGTGTGTCTCATTGAGTGTTTCTTGAGTACGAGGGTCTAATTGAGGAGTATGAATGTTTAGTTGACAGTTTTCAATTGCTTATTGATTCACATATGTAACTTGTAAGGGTCCCATAAATACATCTCAGATAGAATCATGGGATACATAGTTTAAATTGTTGAGACATGAGTTTCATAGAATTGTTTGTAGCGGAAGTAACTTACTTCGATTCTAAAGTCGACTGCGTTGGAAGACACTCTTGTAATTGCCTGTAACAAAAGACTATGGAGTAATATATCCATTATTATTACCACTACCATTAATTGGGTATATCTCAAAATAATCTTCAAATGATTTTAGATCCAACCAACATAGAAAAGGTGGGCCTGACAGCAGGCCAGTTCGGTTCAGGATAGAGTAGTTCTAGGTGGGGAATTTCTATGTGTTTGTATCTATCCTGCCATGGATCACCGCTAAAAAATTTACATTGGAGATGCTCTAGAAATTCCAAACTATACCATGTTTGATTGTCTGTGTTTTTTTAGATGGACGAGTCAAATTGAACCTTGTCTATTTTCTTAAATTAGGTGCCTTAGCTTTAAGAACGTAAATGTGTACTCAAATTTGTCTATGGAAGGGACGGCTAAAATAACTAAGTGAATAGGCCTAGCAATTTCACCCATATCCATGGATATTCATACAATTTGATTCGAACATGTGGATGAAAACACGAAAAAATATGGATGATAATTGGTTGACGGGTGGAGGAGTCGAGGGTCAGATCGGGTACAGATGAGCATACATCCAACTCATCGCTTGATCTTTATCATCCCTCCACCCATTCACCCATGTTTTTGGATAAATAAATATTAATATATATGCACGTATACATCATCATTTTTTATTTATTTAAATTCATAGGATACAAATGTGAAACTCTAATGCTTCCATTGTGTTAGGAATTTAAATCCAAATGTTTATTTCTGAGTTTTCTCACTACATCTAAATAATTTTATTAGATCTCATGTGATTATATTTTTAGAATATGATTTAGTTGTTAATTGAAACGATCTAATATCATACTCCATTTAGAATTGAAAGAAGGGAATATGGTTCAATTAAAAGTTCTTTTAGTATTAAAATATAATCAATCGTAACAGATCTTACTGGATTGTAATTTTGTTTTACTTATTTAAAATTTAAATAAAATTATATTTAAATATTTTTATTTGAGGTCTACAGAAAAGTATGACTCCATTTGTTCATTTTAAATTAATTTATTTATTTTATTTAAAAATGTGTTGAGTTAAAAGTTGAAATATCTATTGCCATATTGCTGGTGTTAATGATTTTAATTGTAATACACACACACATCATTAGTTCAAATATTATTATAGTTGCCAGTTTTTACCAATTGCTCACTGGTTTTTGTAAGGTTAATACTTTATTTGTGTTCATCCGCTAGTCATCGGATCTACTCGATGGTTGGGTTGAGTGTCGATGAAGCTTTTAGCTGGTGATGGACAGATGGACGAAATGTGGAAAGTTGATGGGTGGATGTGGGTGAACCTCCTCCCGGTAAAAATCCAACATGCTATTAGTCTTAGGTGACAAATATATTGGAAATAGATATTTAGCGTCTGACCTTGTTTCCCGGCTCTCCAAGCGTGGGAAGCCCATAATGTACCACATACTCTGCGTCCACTACACCAATCTTGGATGTTCTATCTCCCTGTCAAACAACCGCATATATGCACCTACTAAATTATACACTTGTTTATATATACTCTCATTCTAACATCCTAAGATTATTAATTAAACAAATTGAGGGCTCTGAGTTTGACAGCCACGACCTGTGCACAATATCCAAGTTGCATGTCCAATCCCCAAGCATGGATCAAATCATTCTGTAAAAAACTTATGAGTTTACAATGCGCATCTCCTTGAGAAATAAAAGTTTTTGTAAAACAATTAGGATATTAATGATATTCAGCTATGTTGCGAGGAAATTGAACACGTTGAATTTATGAGTGTGCACACATTACACTTGTACATATCAAAATAAATATAAACTTTAACTAGTATGTACTTTTTTTATCTTCGTTTTTAACTAGTACACGCACACATACACACACATACTTATATAGAGTGTGGTTTCCATAAAAGATTGTTTAAAGTGAGAAATGTGAAAATATCATTTCTAATTCTCTGTGGTACACTTATCTTAATATCGTATGCTGCACTTTTATAGGGTGGCAATTTATGACATTTCCACCACGTTTTTGACCGAATATGATACACCAACTTTAAAGCCATTTGTCTCATGTGCAATGCACTAGATCAATTCTCATTCTCATATTAACAATTCTTTTTATATGATTCAAAGTCTACTTTATATACAAATATATGTATATATTATATACACACATAAGTTTTTTTTTGCAGCAAAAATAATTTTTTTATTAAAATAAAGAAAAGAGTACAACCGCTAATGAAGGTAGAAAGTTAAAGAAATAACAAAAAGTTATTGAAATAACTTGCTAATGATCCACACCCAAAAAAGAAGTCCTCCTCTTGTTGAAGATAGAAACCGATAGCCAAGGTCTTCAACAATACCACATAAATAAGCCGAAACCACCCTTCCAAAAAAACATGACAAATCTTCCCTATGAAGATGTAATCGCAATATTCCATGGTAATTCTAATCCTTAATCCGATTTTTAGATTGAAGTTGAGAAATTCGTCTAAACCTAAGTTGAGTAGCCATTTTATAATTAGGATCACTTGGTCGAGCAAGCCGCTCTTGATCTGAGGCATATCCCAAAGACTCTTCATCTGAAACCGCATCAAAATCCAATTGAGTACTGCCCTTGATTTCTTTTTACTGACTTTGCTCAGGAGACAAGACTTGAATCAGTGTTACTTCCTCCACATTACTCTCATTCTTCCTTGCTTCTCTAGCCATGCCATCATAACAGTTCTTTGTCAAAATGACAATATCCCTATAGCGTAATCAGTCTGAGTAGGAGAAATATAATCAATGACCTCAATTGCATCCTTGTCAATACCGCCTATCTCCTCAGCTAATATAATTACGTTCCCTTGAGTAACCTCATCTAGTTTATCTGATCTAGGAGAAATTAAAAATTCATTCTTGTATAGATCTTCATGAATAAAAAAAGTATAACCATTTAAAATAATCCTCGTGAAAGATCTGAGAGGAGATAGACCCCACACAATCACGGAATTCTCGAACATTGAGTTTGAACAAACCACTCTATGATCTTCCACATCGTGTTCCAAGGTCCCCTTCTTCACATCTTTTAATAGATCAATTTGATTTAACAAAGTATTGTTGAAAAGACGAAAACCAAGTCTTTTCCTACCCTCCGATATAATTAATGTAGTATAACCCCCATCATCAAACAACATCAAACGAATAAATTTACCAAATTAAATCTGTTTTCTCCAAAGGAGAGGGTTAATTTACGAGAAGCTTCATACCTAGTAGTTGTGCAACAATTCCCATTTTGAAATCGACAAAGAGCATCATAGAACCAATCAACCCCTTCTTCATCAAGATAAATGGAAACATTATGTCGGTCCTTAATCTGACTGATTCTCAGCAATAAAGATTCAAACTGAAAACAAAATTTTTTACTTTTGATATGAATACACTTGTATTGAACTGAGCCAATGAACTCTAGCTCGACCCTGTTGATGCCCTCTAGTTGTTACTCACAGATGATCTCCCAAGTAATTGGACATTACTAACGCCTTTCTACCACATACATTGTATATGAACATTTTTATGGCACAACCTCCGGGTTTTTGTGTGTTCTAATAATCTTTTTGGGTTTGCAAATTATGCAGATCTTTTTATGGCTTAAAATAGATACCAATAGTATTGTACATGGAACTAAAGAATTGTCTCTTACAAGTAAATATTCTCTCCTCTTCACCCTATTGGTGTATGTTGGCGATATCATATTCATGTACCTGAATGATGAAGCTATCATGGGATATCATGCAAAATTGAACAAAGGTTCTATTTAGTGGATCTTGGTCATGCATCCTATTTCTTGGGATTTAACTCATCACATCCACCACAGGTGTGTTCTTAAGACATTGAAAATATATATTACATCTATTTGGTCACATGGAGATGGTTGATGCAAAGCTTCTCTCTTGATCAATGACAACCTATCAGTCTTTAAGAGCACTGTTCGGAAACAAACTTGCTCTAATGTTGCATATGCTTTAATACTCTCACAATATATGCACATACCACGTACACATCACTAGGCAACCATCAAAACACTTCTTCAATATCTATGTGATACCACTGAGCGACATATTCAAATTAATCACAACTCTCCTCATGTTCTTCATGCATTCTACGATGCATAATGGACCAGTTAGATGATTAGAAATCCACCATGGGATACATAGTGTATCTTGATACCACACCTATCTCTTGAAGCTCCAACAATCAACGTACCATTGCTCGTTCTTCTACAGATGCCAAGTATAGAGCTACGGCAGTCAATGTCGCTGAAGTCGTATCAGATCAGTTACTTATTACACAAATTGTGATCTAATTTAATTAGATGTCCCTGTAGGAACTACTTACATGAACTACACATTCTCACTTCTACTATTCCCACCCTTAGCACTTGATTATCATTTCGTCTGAAAGCAAGTTCAGGCCAACTCATTGTGTGTTACAGAAACATTGGGACGAATGGCTTTTCCATATATTCTAAATAAGATTGGTCTCTCCTCTAGGTCGTCCAACTTGAGGGGTCATGATAGATGATGTAGTTAGAGTCAAGTATATGTCGCTATTATGTAGGGTAGAATTTGTAATTCTTATTCTTTGTATTTGTCCTTATAGTTATAACTACTCTTGTATACAAATACATGTACACCTTATGCATTAATGATTAGACCAACCTTTCATCAACTCTCATACATTAATTGGACATAAGTGTAGCTTTTATGAATCACAGAGACTAACAACCGAGAATTAATGCAACAAGCATAATTAAGATTGACCTCATAATGTGAGGTGTATTAAATTATTTAGTGAATAATGAAGGGGTTTTTCCATGAAGTACAAGCTAAATACTCCATAAAAATATGGTAGTTTTTTTATTCTAACACAATTATGAACATGCAATTGGCCAGCTTCCGGTTTGTATCTTCATTGTCAATTGGTCATGACCGGTGAAATGCTTGTAATTTAACATTTCCTTTTCAATAAGTTTAACAAATATATATTTGATGATTTTTTCCCCTAAATAAATATTTATGAGCATGGGAAATTAAGGGAGAACTACCTGGATCATATACCACACACAGGTCCATGCAGCTTTTGAAAATACAGGAGCCATTACTTCAATCCACCTGTAGCAAATATAGAGCATCTTTGTACGTCTCATTTGGAATCAATTTTGTTTCTCAATGACACAAGTTGTGTCTGAGATTAGGCAAGATATTTTTGGTTTCTTACTATATATTATCATGTATATAAATTGTGTACCCGGTGCAAGGGGGAGCCGTACTACTTTCATTACATACCATACCCTTTTCACCAATTTTATATGTCCTCCTGCAAAAGCAATGAACTAAAAAGCATTAATTAAAAACACTATTAGAAGGAAATCAAATCATAAATTAATTAATTGTATATTCTCCAATATCATAGTAACATCAGTAAAAACCTGTGTACATTTGCTCTCCTTCCACGTGCCGTAATCTGATGGTGCACCTCAGATTTTCCGGTGTCAAGTGCTGGTTGTGAAATCTCAAGACCTTCCTCCTTCAAGATGGACACATAACTAAATGGCACATATAAAGAGAACCAATGTAGCTTGTCAAATGGACAAAACATTTATCACTTTTCAACAACATTATACCCGGATTTTGTAAACTTATTACACAATTATTTATAAAATATTCGTTAAAAAGAAATTATGAATAAATGTTGGACTAACTCAATTGTAAAAGAGTTCTCAACTCTTAACAACTTTGAAAAGACTTTGCCTTAACAACTTAGAACAAATAAGAACAAATGATGTGCTTAACGTAGTTGAAAAAAGCTCTCAATTCATAATGACTTTATTTTGGATTTTGGAAAATTGGTTACGTAACGGGTTATAACATGAATATATTTCCAATTTAAGAAATTAGATACATACTTTTCAGGGTTGAAGTTTTCGACACCGAGATCTTCATCCCATAAGAAAATGTAATTGTATTCTGCAACTATATTTGGATGCAGAAACCTCTTTGCAAACCACCTGTAATTTTTCATAACAATAGAATGTAGTATAAGAGTTTGGAGTATCATGTCTAAGAAAAATATATTAAATTAAAAATCCATATAATGGATGTGGTGAACTGTACCATTTTGTTTGGTTGAGAGCTGATATGTGTATCACTGTATTACTCCATTCGTAGTCCTTCCATCCATCAACAATTCCATCATAATGGAAAAGCATTACTGTGAAATTACATGACAAGAACTGCATTCCATGCACAATAAGTATCATGACTAATATGCAATATTTAATGAAAGTGCCTTAACAAGATATGTTTGGTGAGGACTAAGGATAAAAATATTAATAAATGTTAAAAGAAGTATTCAATACGTGGTTTAAAGATAGATGTAGAACATTACTAAATAAACATTACAATGCCTATGAAGGTCAAGATAATCTGCAGATTACCCCAACAATACTTTAGTATTCTACGTGTGGGAAATTTGAGATTACCCCATCAATCTGAAAACTCGAATTAAACATGTAGTCTCACATTACCTTCTTGTGCATGTGGTAAAGCTCCAACTGAGTAAAGTAACCTGACATTACCTTCCTAGAAGTACCAAGATAGACTCAGATTACCCACCCGAACCAAACGGCTCCTAACAACTATCTCAGCTCATGATGTTTTATGAACAAACTATGTCACTATTCTTTTTCATGAATATAGTGTCAACTAATTGTAGATAGTTAATACATGAAATTTCATGTAAGGAGTCACAACATAATTGACATTTACCTTTTTAACCAACATATCTACTTTTTCTTTCTGCTTTATCCCAACTGCAGCTGTAAATAGGCTTCTGGCATGTTCTAATTTCTGTTCACAGAGATCGATCTCGTGATCAATTGTTGATTTTTGTAACCTTTTTTGTATGTGCGAGTGGGTGAGAAATTAAGCACTCTGCTAATACTTTTCTAAAGAATAATTGAAAATATACCTTTGGAGAACCCCAAAGTGGTCTCATCTCTAAGTTAGAAGTCTTCGCAACAATGCCTTGAGGCAATGACTCACTTCCTGGAGGTCTGCATGTTTTCTAAACCATATGTGACAAATTATTGTCTAAAGATGACAATTGGTGTATTGGATCTGATACATTACAAATCAAAGTCAAAACAAGCCAAACTGCATGTAGTACTCTCCTAAAAACACACTAAGGTATTAGTAATACTTTAATTAAAATGTTCATAATAAAAATGTAGCAAAGAACAAACCTGACAAGTTTTGTTATCTATGTCATCCCTTTTCCATCTCAAGAGTTTCTGTACAATGCAGTGTCGATCATTTTAGTTGAAGAGAAAGAGGTAAACACAAGTTGGTCCCTCGAATTTACACAATTATTCAATGTGGTTCTCCATGATTGAATTTGGATAATAACTCGAAACGAGACTCTTTTACTCCAATATTTATTCCAAATATACGAGATACTCGGGACAAAAAGAAAAGTTACACACACACACCGTATATGTGTGTGTGCACATATATAAATACCTCTTTTTGAATATGTATAAATGAGCTCCCTACAAGGAGGAGCAGACAGAAGAGAGAAGTTGTAGGAAATATCAAGCATATGCACGACCTCTTCCTTTTGTGGTCTTTCAGTAGAAACATTGATAAGCACGATAGTTACCTATATTTTATATAAGTGATTATAATTATCTGTACAAATATACAAAGGATAAAACAGGTGAACATCCCAAATTGAGCAAAAACACGCAAAGACGGCCACGAATGAAGAAACGAGAATCAACACTCAAAAAGGACCAAGATTGAACACTTTGGGTAAACTAAAGGCGTCAAAACATACAAAAGAGTCAAATATACAAAAAGAGGAGAACCGACACCGGTCAGGCCTTAGAACTGGCGCCAGTTGCATTTTTTATTCCCGACATCAAAATTGTCGAGAACAAATCGCACCAGTCCATGACCGTTTCCGGTGCCGGTTAGCTTTTTAATATGGGAAAATCAGGCACCAAAAGAGAACCAGTGCCGGTCCGGCCTACAATCGACGACGGTTTGGTCAAATTCTGCACAAAACAATGAGACATGCAATTTATTCTTGATGGAAAAAACCACCTTCCCAATGATCTGGTCAAATATATCATCCATGCCTTTATTTGGCTTCGAATAGACTAAAAGATTCCATTCTTTTGCCTATATAAAGCCCTCGATTCAAAAAACAGCATCATCATTCTATCCTTGAATCTTAGATTTCAGTTTATATATTTCATTTCTTGCATTTTCTTGAAGAGTTGGGGAAGAGGTCATTTGAGAGTGCAGCCGTTTATTTTCTTAGATTATTGTAAATTAGTAATGTTAGAGTATCTTGAGCTTGGATCAATTAGTCTACAACAAAGAAACCGAAAGAAATCTTATAAGATCAAAAGAAGGTGCAAAGGAGGAAAAAAATGTCATGCAAGAGATTTGATTTGATCACACACCCGGTCGGGTATGATTCGACCTGAAGGTCATATGAGATCACACACCGGTTGGGTATATTGACATACCCGATCGGGTATGACTACATTTCATCACTTTCGTAGCTACTGCCAAAGATCAGATATCTAGTTGGGTATCCTAGATACCTGGTCAAGTATTCAGCTGAGAAGCCCCAAAACTCCTATAAAAGCACCCCTTTCCTTCCCATCTAAGGCATCCATCATTCCTCACACTTATGCTCAGATTGGATTAGTATATTTTTCATATGTTTCTTGTTTGTTTATACTCCAATGTGAAGCTAAACTCTTTCATCTTGGTTTTGCAATATTGAAGTTTGTGATTTGCAAGATGTGAGTTATTTTCTTTAATGATCCTCTTTTGAATATTAATTACATTCATAATTATATTTCATATTGATGTTTGAGCATTATTAAATGATCAATTAGTTAATGTTTTCATATTGATTATTACTAGAATCGATCAACGAATACACTTGTTATTAGCTTGATCTTATCATAAGTGGTAACTTTAGATTACTAATGCATGTCTCTCATGGTTAATAATCTAAAGGGAAATTAATTAGATTGATTAAACCGATAAATCACATGTGTTCAAGTTGTTAATATCAATTGATTTTATCTAAAGATAAATTGCTACTATCAAAAAATGTCTCTCGTTATAAATAACTATCTTACATGAATTGGAAATACTCCACAATTGAATATTCAAGAAGTGATAATTAAAGTAGTAATCAACGTCAATGAACATTTCATTAAGTGAAAATGATCAAATCCAAGTCTTTCATTCATTGATTTATGAGCAGTGTTTTATATTCTTAAGTTCATACAAACTTAACCTTTCGTTACAATTTCATATACAAAGAACACATTTTCATATGGATACAAACTCTAATACTTGACTTGTGGCGTGCGCGACGGCCGCAAGATGCTAGTCCCTGAGAAAACTCTTTCAAAAAAAATTCCTATTTTTCTACTTCCATTACAAAATTACCAGGAAAAATTACTAGAAAGTACTACGTATTTTCTAAAATCGGAGTTGCATGTTCCATGACAGCACTAATACGGTGGCTACAAGAAAGACAATGGTGACGTCGAAAGGAATATTAGTGGCGGAAGTCATAAAAGACAATGACATAATAAAATGACTATGAGATTAAAAAAATGTGAGTGACGTAAAAAAAACTGATAGTGACATTCATAACTCTCTAATTTTATTACTGTTTAGACTTTTAGTCACATTTTTTCCATTGGTAAAAGAAATCACTTTTTGGAATTGAATTGTATTCCGTAATATTTCCTCCGGTCCTAAATAAACTTCACACTTTCCATTTTGGGTTGGTCCAAAATAAACTTCACACTTCTTCTTCATTCTTTATTTGGCAAATTATCTACATCAAAACAGTGCAAAACAGTGCCAAATAGTGTCAAACAGTGTCATACAGTGTCACAACAGTGTACTCTACAGTAAAGTCAAATTTATTTTCTTAATTTGTGTGAAGTCAAAGTGTGAAGTTTATTTAGCACCGGAGAGAGTATTTAAGGAAAACTCGTTGAAATATGTCAAATACAATAGAAAAGATTAATATTGATCGAGTCGTTAGGAAAAATTAAGGGAGATTTACCTTAATACTACCTCCGTCCCGGAATTATCTCCTTATTTGACTGGGCACGAATTTTAAGATAGTGGGAAATGTGTGGTGGAGAGTTGTGCAGAGGAAAGAGAAATGTGTAAGAATGGTTGTGAACCACAAATTCTTTGCCAAAAAAGAAAAAAAAAGATAAATTTGGGACGGACCGAAAAGGAAAGAATGAAGATAATTCCGGGACGGAGGGAGTAGTACCAAAACATGGCTTTTCCCCAAAATAGGACCAATTAGTTTAAACATTCTTAAATAAGACTTTTTATGTGTGATTGGACCAATATACCCTCACCGCTGCCGGCCCTTAGACTGCTGCCCCTGGACCTCCGGCCAGCCGCCTGCCGCCAGACCTCCGGCCACCACCGCCTGCCGCCAGACCTCCGGCCACCGCCGCCAGACCTCTGGCCACCGCCGCCGCCGGAAAATTCCAAAAAAATATGGCAGACTGCCAGATTCTGTCGTCGCAGCCGCCGGAGCACCGCCGCCAACCGCCGCCGCCGCCGGAGCGCCGCTGGAAAATTCAAAAAAATATCTGGCAGACTGCCAGATTCTGCCGCCGTCGCCGGAGTTCTCCGCCGCCGCAATGGTGTTTATCAGAATTTATTGTTTATTTATTGTTTACTTATTGTCTATTTATTGTCTATTTAATGTCTGTTATTTTCTTGCCGCTGCCGGAAACCGTTGCCGCTGCCGCCACCACCGTATTGCCCCCATCACCGACGGGCTGCCTTGGTTGTGCAAGAAAACTAGGGGGGTAATTATTTAGGTCAATTTAATAATCCGCCGCCACTGCCACCGAGCTGCCGCCACCACTGCCGCCGTACTGCCGCCACCACCGGACTGCCCCGCCACTGATGGACTGCCTTGATTGTGCAAGGAAACTAGGGGGGGCAATTATTTAGATCAATTAATTAATTAAATAGAATTAGGGGTAAAAAAAGTAAGGTTAATCCTATTTAGAGAAAAACATGCATGTGGTCTTATTTTGAGAAAAAGGTTGAGTTTTAGTTGAATAAAGATAAATGCTCTGAATTCCAGCGCAGTCCACAAAATGTTATGGATATGACTAATTGTATAAGATAAAAAAAGAATGACAAAAATTATACCTGCTACCTTTACTTAGACATAAATAGGAGCAATTTTAAAATTAGAAACAAAAGAGATTAATTGTTAATAGATGGACCTAAATACCCTTAATCATCTCGCTGCTCCCCCATGTCTTCTTTGCAAATGGCACCAACACCGCCATCCATCACGTCGCTTGCTTCTTCTTCGCCCAACGCACAGCTCTCTGCCCCTCATCTGTTTGTTTCTTCTTTGCCCACCAACACAGATAGAGTCCTTCGCAACAATGACGCAAGGTTTCTTCTTCTTCGTCGACTCTGAAATCATCACACGTCGCCACCCCATCATGTTTTTCTACTTTTTCAAGTTTCTATCCATGTTTCCAGATCTGTGGCGAGGATCCAGGTTTTTTCACTGATCACTGCTCTTCTTCGTCGCCATCGCCGATTCTAGATCTACATCTTGATCTACATCGATTCTTCTTCTACAAGAATGGTGCCTTGTCAATCTTAGGATATGTTTGGGAGTTTGGAGGGAAGGGGAGGAGAAGCTTTGGAGGTATGTTGTTGGAGGGGAATTTCAATTACCATCTTTTTAATTATACTTCAAAATCCTTCAAATTGGGGAAACTTAAAAATTAAGCATTTGTAGGGTTTTGAAGAGTTTCAAAAGCCCTCCAAAATCATTCCTTCCATTTTTTAAACTCCCAAACATAAAAAGGAGAGTTTTAAACCTTCATTAACCTTCTCCTTCCCTCCAAAACTCAACTCCCAAACACACCCTTAAAGAAATGATTTATGCGAGAGGGAAGGGGTGGGGTTGGTTGGGTATAGTAGTGTCAAAGTAGGGGCTAGGTGAGGACACTGACAGGTCAGTGGGGCAGGGAGCAGTGATGGCCGGAGCCATGGAGACAATGATTGCCGAAGTCGGGGTGGCGGCAGCGGACGAGTGAGGCATGTCACTGGTGACCTACGTCGACAACCGTCGTGGCGGCCGAGACAGAGGGTGGCCATGGCAAAGGGCAGACAGGGGCAGCGGCATTGGCTGGGTTTTGTAGAGCGGTTTCGTGTTGCTGTAACTAACCGGTACGGGTTACTGTTGCAGTGACAGAACTAGAAATTATTGTAAGGGAGTACAATCACAAAAGAACGGCAACAATAATAATAATTGTCGGGCGAAGAATACAACAGACGGTGGCAGAGGATGACTGTTAGCGGGAGCGGCTGTTAGCAGCGAGAAATGCATACTCCCGCGGTGAGCTGGCTCCGGGAGTCCTGGAGCGGGGCGCCCCTTCCGATGTGGCGCTGCTGCGAAATTGGCGATAACTCATTCCAGACCTTGAGGGATTCAAGGCTTGTAGAGTTACCGCTTGGTCTGTCTAACGCCTATTTTCTTGTTTGGGCTGTTTCTTGTTGGAGCTTGCCAGTTGGCCCAATCGGCTAGGGAAGTTGAGCTGATTTTTTTAATTGATCCTACGAAACGTCGTCGTTCCACATTAAATAAAAAATAGCCCTCAGTCTTCTTCGGTCAATTTAGTTCATCGTCTTTCGTCCTCGCACCCTCAACATACATTCGCCAGAAAACTCCATGGAGAACGTATCAGACTGAGGTTCCCTACCCATTCCTATACATCCAGACTGGTGAAGCAGGGGCATCGGCCTCCTGGCCCCCCTTGCACATCCGCCCCTGTTGTTGCTGCTGGGTTTTGTGACCGTGGACAGCGGCGACGTTGGTCATTGTGACGAGCGATGATGTTAATCACTAGCCGAATGAGTGGTCATTGTCCAACCAGCGGTGTCACTATCACTGTCGTATGGTCAATGTCATTATGGCTGCCCGCGGCGGTCGGTGGTGGTCACTGCGGTGGAGGTTTCTCTTTTTAAAATGAGATTTCATTTATAAATGATAATTTAGAAATTAGTTCACATAAGATTAAAACTATTGCAAAAACCTAAAATAGCACTTGCTATGTTTTTATTCCAAAATAGGACCATATGAGTCCTATTGGAAACATACCTATTTTTGCATTCCATTCTTACCCTTCAATTAAATATGAATTAAAAATAGTCAAAAGCCATAATTAAATGTTTAATTCATAATAAATTCGAAAAAAAAATTCAAAAATTCGTAGAAATATAATTAAAAAATTTATAAAATTTTTATAAAATAAAAAATTCAAAAACTTTTTTTTGAATAATTTTTTTTTAAAAAACATTAATAAAAAATAGTAAAACTCCGTAAAACAATTTAAAAAAATATGGATGTCTTTCCCACCGCCTGTACTACCTCCCAGCACCACCACCTCCGGCCGATGAAAAAAATGTCATTTTCCCAGAAAAATGCCATTTTTTTCTGAAAATGCCAAAAAAGAGGCATATTTCTCTTTTCGAATGCCAACATTTTCATTTTTTCCTGCCATAAATATGGCATTCGTAATGAACTTGGCATTTTTTCCCCTGGTGACTGGAGGTGGTGGTGCAGAGGCGGCGGCGATTTTTTTTTTTGAGTTTTTTTTTTTAATTTTTTTTTAATTTTTTTAATTTTTTGTAAAAAAATAATTAAATTTTTAATATCGAAATGTTTTTCTTAATTTTTTAGTATTTTTTACGAATTTTTATTATTTTTTATTATTTTATTTGGAATTAAAACATTTTAATAGCTATAAGGGTATAATTGTCCAAGGTACACATAATTAGTCCTATGCAAACATAGTTCATTTTTTGGTCCTATTTGTGAAAAGTGAATGACTTTTAGTTCTATTTTGATAATTAACTCATGATAATTATATTTTCAATCTCCACTTTTAATATTTCAAATCGGGATTAAAATCAATAAGGTGGTTTTTTTTGTACAAGTACTACATAATAACTTTACAATAATCTCCACCTTTCATGTGCAAGTTGCGCACACATACAGTTATACCCATGTGTGATAGAGTTTCACGTTCCAGTGAATTGTGATGCACCTTTTGCGTGATAGGAAAAGTTGTACATTTTCGTTTTTCATAGATACTAACTTTTTACGACCAATATTGTCGTCTTAGGTTTCTGTATATATTTTATTCATCTGACAAAATTATACAAATTATCAGAGCATAATATATATATATATATATATATATATATATATATATATATATATATATATATATATATATAGTATGGTAAGTGTACATGGTGAGACATTAACATATGTATGTAACGTATATGGAATGTCCGGCCAATGTGCGCTGATTTGAACATTTAATTTAATATTATAATAACATGCATCGTTATCAATAAAACATACGGAAAAAGAAAAAAACAGAGTTCATTTGGCGATCCACAATTCAGGCATATATGGTGTGCACATATAATAATGCGGCAAAACAAAATATGGAAAATCATTCCACGGACAGAATTAACATTAGAAAAATCATCTTCTAATCACAGCTAGGTCTGCTGCATCCATGATCAATAGAGAGAAACAATCTGGACTTTCATTCTAAAAAACTTAGAACGAATTTCGAAGCATATAAAGATTCATGGGATCGCAATCAATCATGAATTATTAGTATGATAAGCAAACCTCCGTCCGGCCTTTAATTTGTGCGTTGATTGAGGTAGCTGAAGAGTATATAATTCCAATTGCGTTAAATGAATTTCAGCAGAGCTCTGTTTTCTTTGCACCGGTGATTGATTGAAGCCAACACCCCACCCCGGTCTTCACATTTATAGGCAGGCCCGCCCGGGATAATGTACATTAATTTTTTTGGAAAAGTAATAAGTCTGCCATCTATAATAATAAAATAAAAGTTTAAAAAAGTACTTCTACTACGGAGTATTTTTATTTTATTTTATAAATAAATACAGTACTAGACGCATTCATACATCGTATAGTTATACTTCAATTCACATGCGTCTATCATAAACTACAGTCAAGATTAGTGTCTTTAATAATTTTTATTTATGACCAAGCCATAGGGATCTCCTCAAACTTTTCTGTGGTCCTCCTTCAAAGATTAAAATAAATTTAAGATGCTTTTTTAAATAAATGCATATATCTAAACCTAAACTAATCTTTTTAGAATAACAAAAACTAAATTTTAATGTAATAAAAAATTGGTACTTACGGAGTAATAAAAAGACACCCTCACCCATCAGGAATGAAGACACATGCACTACCAAAAACTTCGTTATAGGCACGGAATTTTGGTACGGAAACGTGCCGTATCAAATTCGTCTCGGTTGTTGGCTCGCAACTACTAAACTTGAGATCTCTACTTGTATTCGTGTCTGTACCGAATTTTTTTTGTAGTGATGGGTCTTTCGCAAAAACCCTTTCACACATGCCCGGAATAGATCCTCAAAGCCAATGATAGAGATATTCGTAATAATTGTGACATTTTTTGTCACACTATTTTGTTTAAAAACTCTACCATACCTAAATATATTTATTTATTCAGATGCTTATATTTAGGTGTATAGTATATGGAATGCATGGTCAAGTACTATTCATACATTTACGTATGTATAATTAAATCAGTATCAGTATTATTTTTTACATCGAACTCTGCTTATAGAATCATACATGTCCTTCAAGTTCAAGTTTGAGAATATTAACCGAAATAGGACTAAAACAATTCGAAAATTCCAAAATAGAACTGTCATATTTTTATTTCCAAAATAGGACTACTGTTTAGAAAATATTGTCATGTTTGAAGTTTGTTACTGCCAAAACATGACAGTAATTAGTCCTATTTGTGTAATAAAAAACATAACAGTCCTATTTTGGAATTTTCAAACTATTTTAGTCCTATTTTGAGAAGTTTCCCGTCAAGTTTTACCGTTTCATATAAAGATAAAGGAGCTATTTTAAATTCTCGTTTCCGACTTTCCGTATCATTTTTTGCAATAAAAACAATTCGAAACGGTTGTTTTTACTTTACAGGATTTCTTTCCTGTCATTTAATGAGTTTTTCTTAAGAATTTCCGTTACGGGATTTCTTCATAGAAATGTGGGTCCTTGTAGCGCATGCGTTTAATTTGTAAATTCAATATTCCGTTTTTATGTAAGTTCTGCAATTAAAAGATTTGGAAAACTCATCTCTAATGAATCAACAGCGTTATAGACACTTTTTTTTATAAAAGAAACGTTATAGAAACTTTGGGCCATTGTTTCATTTTTCAATTTGATAGGATTTGTTGGTGTTAATTAGCGCTTTTTATTATTTTCTTGATTGGTTTAATGCACCAAACCCTCTCATGAAATATAAATTCGACGTATTATCCTCTGTGATTTAAAAAATGCGTCAAATCCCTCTGTATTACAATTAATCATGCACAAAACCCCCTCTTAGAACAAATTTTACAATTTTGAAATCATTTTTTTAATAATATGGTTGAATGTGCAAGTAACTTTGTCAAAATTTCTAAATTATTCAAAAAAACTAATCATTTTTCATTTTTTTAGAAATTAAATGTGTTCTTGAAGGGGGTTTGGTGCATGATTAATTATAACACAGGGGGATTTGACGCATTTTTTAAATCACAGAGGATAATACGCCGAATTTATATTTCACGAGAGGGTTTGGTGCATTAAACTCTTTTCTTGATAGATATTTTCATGAGATTAAGAACGGGGTTATTCCCTGAATATTACTGAATTAAGGTTGATTTTCAAATATGTGATCACTTTTACATTTGGACAAAAATGTGACTAAAATAAAGTGATCGCCAAATATTCATGTCACTGGCGTTTTTATGTCACTGTCGGATGACACTAGATATCACCCATGTCACTGCTGCCGCCATCGTCGTGTCACTTCCAGCGTCATCGCTCGTGTCACTACCGCCACCGTCACCGCCGCCGACCACAGTGACACCGCCATAGTGACACCACCGCTAGCACTGCCCCATTACTGATGTTGGCACCGCTTTCGGCGGCCACCACCTTCGGCCAATGCCTGCAACCACCGCTAGCAACCACCACACGTAAGCCCCTGCCTCACCCGACCCCCTCCCAACTCCCCATCACCAGAAAACCCACACCCCGGCATGCCCCTACCCCCTCTAGACACGACAATCCAACAGAACTGGCCAAACACGATGTTTAAGCAATATTTTGATAAGCTAAAACTAATTATAAAAGAAAATTATATGTAGATTAGATCTTGTACAAGAACAATAAGAAAGATGACAAGTGAGCAAAATATAATGTAATTTAGAGTGTTATTCGAATGAGAATCCACCAGAGTACAATTTGACTCACTCCTATATATAGGAGATGTAATTAATATTCTCAGGACTGTTTCGTCCGTTACTAATGGGTGGGCCTGATGACTTCATCCGTTACGAAGATTTCAAAATCCGTCATAACGGTTGGTCAACTACAATTATTACCTTCCTTAATGACCTTAAAAAACTCAATAGTACATAAAAACGTTACAATAACTATCATTAAGCCGTGTGAATGCCCATTAACTCCTGCGGTCATCTCTCTTTAAATGCAACATAACCATCAAATTTTTGCTCTAACAATTGCCCCCTTTCGAGAAGTTGACGCGTATGATGCACGGGTCGGACTGTTAAGCGGAAATTTATCGAAATTTTGAAAGAGCTTATACTTCACATCTTCGTTCATTGCGCCTATTGACTTGTCAACGACTTGTCGCACCGTATTGATCAATTCGTCTGATGAAATGCTTTCGTCTTTCTTTCAAGTAACTCTCAATCGAATCCGTCTCCGTGACCAAAACAATGAAGAATGAAAGTCGACCTCTTATCATCTTTCCTTCAGGATTGTGGTGATGACTAAATGACGATGAATTGGGACTTCGTCCATAGTGATGGTAACACTTTGGTTGGCAAAGGGAACTTCGTCTGTTGCTAGAGATAACGAATTCAGTTGCATGAATGTAATCGATATCCTGCAAAAACTTTGAACACTATTTTCGTTTGCAAATTAAGTAATATTGTCGACATGAATGTTTAAGAATTATGTCAATGTCGTTCGTATTGTCTCCTTATGTTTTAAAGCTTTTCGTTGTCATGCTCTTGGAGCACATGCTTTTGTTATGTATTTCTGTATAGTTTTAGCCAAAACACTGCGGAGAATCAGTGGTGTTTATACCCATGTTTAGCGTACATGAGAATCTCATTTCTTCCCCTAAGATTCTGTAAGCCCCCATCAATTGAGTTTTGACGTTTTTGTAAGGCTTTGTTTGATGTATGTTAGGATTCGGTCATCGTCAATTGTTGATTGTAATTGTGTAAAACGGATTTGTCAAGGCTGGCCATTGGTTATGAGCCAATGGCACTCTGATGCTTAAGTTAGTAAATATTCGTTTGATTGTATAAACATAATTAAATGATTAAAAATGAAAGAGTTTTAAGTGTACCACATTCCAACTTCCAAGAACGTGTTTATCGTCTATTGATTCTCGTCGATATACCCCCTGTCTGATGACTTCGGTGATCTTGTATGGTCCTTCCCAATTTGGACTAAATTTGCCACTTGCTTCGTTTCCAAATGCACGCCTAAGGATCCAATTGCGTTTCTTGAATACTTTCGCTCAGACGTTCTTGTTGTAACTTTTGGCCACCGTTTGTTGATATGCCTGCATTCTAATCTTGGCCCGTTCTCGCAACTCGTCAATGGTGTATGTCTAAGTGATGAATTAGCTCCACATTGTTTCTATCCTCAGTGACAAGTCCATATCTCGACGTTGGGACTTCAACTTCAACCGGAATGACCGCCTTGCAACCATAGACCAAGAAGAAAGGGGTATGTCCAGTAGCATTTTTAGGTGTCGTCCTGTCTGCCCATAAGATTAATGGCAACTCTTCACCTCAATTTTCTTGTGCTCTTTCCAATCTTTTCTTTAGGTTGGACATAATGATCTTGTTGCTAGATTCAGTCTGTCCATTTGATTGTGGCTATCTTGGAGTTTATGTCTCAATTTTGATGTTGTACTTTTCACAAAATCGTCTTGTCTTGGAGCTAGTGAATTGTGATCCGTTGTCACAAACGATTTCTGACGAGATTCCAAATCTGCAAAGGCCATTTGGAGAAGTAGTCCCTCATTGCCAACATGTATACTTTCTGACCGGGTGCTTCCGGTAACTTTTCGACGATATTCATACCCTACTTCATGAAAGCCCAAGGTGACAAGACATGATGTAACGATTATGATGGCTGATGACGAATCAGTCCATGCTTCTGACAAGGTTGACAATTTTGGGGGAAGATGATGATGTATCACCTCATTGTCGACCAGTAATATTGAATCTCAAAGCTTTGTTGGACAGACTTCTCCCAGCAGCATGGTTTCCGCACTCTCCTTCGTGAAGGCTCTTCAGTACCTTGACGGCTTCTTATGGTGCCAAACATCTTTGGTATGGAGTGCTTTTGCCTCTCTCTTGTTAGATGGAAGTGTGTTGTGTTTCAAGTAGGCCATGTATGGTTGCATCCAGGTGCTGTCAGTTTCAGTATCGATGAAGTTGACAAATTCAATCTTGTCTATAGCTAAACTCTTCAGGTGAACAAATGGGATGTTGTTATTGTTCTCTGATCCCAAACATGACTCGATTGTTGTTAAGGCATCTGCTTGTGAGTTATTCTCTCTTGGAATTTGCTCGAAAGTGATCTCGTCAAACGAACTCGTCAACTGTGTGATGACTTGTAGATAAGACGTCATCTTTGGGTCTTTCGCTGCATAAATTATGTTAGTCTAATTACAATCAGGAGTGAGTCGC